ACACAGCATGGTGATCACATAAGCCTTCTTTTATTGTTTCATAAGGAGGAAAATAGGTTAAAATTGGATGTTAAAGAAATTGAATGGGAGGGCTTGTATTAGATTCATCTGGCTCAAGATGTGGATTAATGGCAGGCTCCTGTGAACACATAAACTTTTGGCTTCCAGTCAAGAGCCAGAGATGTTTTGACTAGATGTGCAACTACTAGCTTCTGAAGAAGGACTCTGCTTCATGGAATTGGCCAGTTAGATCTGTCTTTGTAGATTTGTGACTTGGCAACTATGCCATGGAATTGGAATCAGGGTTCCGTTCCTGGTCGGGGCATTGATTTTTTTTTTCTCTGCAATAATGAAAACCTAGCATCCTATCCAGTGAATACCAGGGGTTCTCTCCCTCATTGGTAAATTGACAATAGGTTGAAGCTGACCATCTGTCTCCATCCTGTGGTGAGGTTAGTGCATGACTTCTGTCTTGCTTTTCCCACAGTTTTTCATGGCAGGGTGCTTAATTAAGTATATGGATTTACCTTGCATATGGAATCATGAGAAGTTTCACTGTTGTTGAAACTTGTTACAGTTTTCCCTGAACATACGGTAATGCTAAACCTTGATCTGAGATAAGTTATCAAAGTCACTTGAGATATGATGTTGCCATAATGATTGTAATAATAATAAGCACTTTAACATAATATCTGTTTAGATTGTTGGATGTAATGAAGGATATTGCATGATAAGTAATTGTGGCATAAAATCATTATTCGAAGAAAAATTTAACTCTGCCTAATAATAATATATATGTAGATGTATTTCCTATTTTTACATGATGGCGGAAAGGTGGAATAGTGGAGTGAATAGATATAACCGTTCCTAGGCAACGGCGCAATAAACACGTTTCTGCAAAAACATACTGAAGCACAGCATGTTTCAGAATTTAGGTCTTATCCCAATTAAGGATTGAGATTTGATTCTGTTGTTAAATATCAACAAAATTTGATATTATACTTTGAGGAACCGAGTATCTTAGCTCAACAGTAGTATAGTTGACATTGTGTTTACTTCAGGAACTGGCTGGCTATGGGCTGGATGGCCAAGGGGTCGGAGTTCTAGTCCCAGTAGGAGCAAGATTTTTTCTCTACACGTTATCCAAACCGGTTCTGAGGTCCATCCAGGCTCCTATTCAATGCATACTGGAGGCCCTATTCCCAGGGGTAAAGCGCTCACGGGCCTGAAGCAACTAATCACCTCCAACTAGTGCCGAGGTCAAGAATATGTCGCTCTATATATCCACTCCTCCATATGTCTTTATGGCGTAATGCTTAATTTGTTAAGCACAGGGACAACTTTGTCTTTACCAACATCAGATGTTGACTGGGTAACGAGCTATTGACAATTAGGTTTTTGATGGTTATCTGCTTTTGTTCTGAACAGATGATATTTATATTTTGTTTATTTAACAATAATATCAGTAACTCATACTATACATAATGTCCCAAGAGTAAAAGTCAATATTCTGGGACATCAGAGTATCAGTAATTCTAAGCAAAAAGTATATATATACATGTTTTCTATTTTGAATGGTTTCTGAGATAGATCTATTTAACTGTGCAGTACACTGTACACTGTACAGACGAGCAACGCGCCATGTTGTCACACGAGTTGCACCAAGATAGAACTATTTCACTGCGCAGTACACTGTACACTGTACAGACGAGCAGCATGTCATGTCCTCACACGAGTTGCACCGAGATAGAGCTATTTCACTGCACAGTACACTGTACACTGTACAGATGAGCTACACGCCATGTCCTCACATGAGTTGCACCGAGATAGAGCTATGTCACTGTACACTGTACACTGTACAGACGAGCAACACGTCATGTCCTCACACGAGTTGCACCGAGAGAGAGAGCTATTTCACTGCACAGTACACTGTACATTGTACAGACGAGCAACACGCCATGTCCTCACACGAGTTGCACTGGGATAGAGCTATTTCACTGTACATTGTACAGACGAGCAACATGCCATGTCCTCACACGAGTTGCAAAGTGCATTGATGTTGACGGTGGAATTTTCAAAAATGTATTATACTACATAAACTGTGCCAGTTTTGTCACTTGAGCAATAAAAATCGTTGTGAGAAACAGTACGTAATGTCTGTTTCTTATCAATAATTTTGGAACTGTATGGTGAAACAGCTCTCTTGGAAACCGTTTGGAATAAGACACATGTGCATATACACTTTTTTGCTTAGAATTACAAATACTATGACCTCCCAGAATATTAACCTTTCCTCATGGGACATTCTGTATAGTATCAAATGATTGCATAGTGGTGAATAATGAAGCAAAAAGAATTTATAAAGGAGCAGTCTTGACCTAATTTTAGTACTCTTTGAGGGGGTTAATATTTTTTACTACAACAGGACCATTTTCTTCTATAGCCTTTCTGAATGATGGAACATCTTTATTCTTAGATTACACTTCATAGAAGAAATGTAATTAAACAGTGTCTGCTTCTGAAGTTGTGATAATAAAGTTAGAGTCATCCCCTTATTTAATTAAGCACACCTGAATGAATTCATATGGAGGAATGGAGTTATAGATCCATATATTATTAACCTCAGCTGTAGATGGGGGTGAGTGGTCAGGTTCACGCCCCAGCCCCCTGGGAAGGAGCCCCCCCCCCAGTACACATTTGATAGGAGGCTCGGTGGGCCCCCGAGCTGGTCTGATTGCTAGGTAGAAGAGAGATATCTCTTTCTCCTGCCGGGAATTGAAAGCCTATTTGTGGGTCTTCCAGTCCCTAATCTGTCTCTGTCCTGATTGAGCTATACCGTCTTCTTCTGAAACTCTAAAAAGTTTCAAAATTGTTCAGCAGGTCCCAGGACATGTAATACATCAGTAGTTACTGCTGTTTCCTTACTACTTTGTAATGTTCTATTTGACTATAAGGATGTTCTTCATTGTAGATCTGTCTCGGTTAGGATAGAAACTTCTGAATTAGGATTATCAAAGAAAAATTAAAAGGTGAACTTGTCTTGGTGCATAAACACTTCATCATGAACCTGAACCTCAGCCAGTGTCATCAGGAATTTTCAATCAGTGAATCCCACTGAACTGTGATATTTGTCAAAAAGTAATGAGAATAATATGGAACAGAGCTGATAAATGTAACACTACTTGGTCCCAACATTTGTGTGGCAGATGTTTTACATCTTAAATGATTAATAAGGGAAAACATTTGTGCTTTCTTTGATGGGAATAATTCAGTAGCAGTAATGTTAATAAGAATTCGGAAAAACAAGAAAGCATGCTATGAGAATGTTATATCTTTCTGTGTTTTATGTCATCCTTAAAATAAACAGGTTTGTAACCTGTGACCCTGCATACTTTCCAGTAAAAATATATATGAAAACTCAGAACCATTTCACGTTTATCAAAATTGTCTTATTAAATAATTCATTCTTAAAGAGTTACAACTTTTGGGATATAGCACTGTGTAGTCTGTTGAAAGTCAACCATCGTTTCATATGAACATATTGCCTCCATCTTCAGGTCTGAAGCAATAAGAAACAGGCATGAAGCAGCAGTAGCAAGCAGCTTCATGCTTGTTTCTTTGCTTGGCTTTTCTTCTACACTGAAGATGGAGGTGGCATGTTCCTCTGAGATGTCACTTGACTTTCGATGGACTACACAGCATATCATCCAAGTGAGAACTCCAAAACCTATGATACGTAGTAACACTGTATAGAAATTTCTTTCTGGCTTTCTCACCAGTATCCTACACAGCTTCCACTTCTTCCTTGTCCACCTCCTCTCCTTTGGCTTGATCATTCTAATTATACTTGGAGAAGAGTACAAGTTATGAAGCTCCTCACTATGCAATGTTCTCCAGTCACTTCATTCATCTTTGGTCCAAATGTTCTCTCAGTACCCTTTTCTGAACCCTCAGTCTATGTTCCTTCCTTAATGCCAGAAACCAAGTTTCACACCCATACAGAACCACAGGCAAAATTATAGTTTTGTGTATTCTAATTTGGAAGTTTTAAACAGTAGTTGAGGAAATGAAAGATTCTGGACTGAATGATAGCAAGCATTACCTTAAATCACTTTCATAATTTCCTCCTGAACAAAATTTTCAATTTTTATGTTTGAAATGTGCCACATTTTCAAAGGATCTGTTAACTGTCTTCATATTATAGTTTTACCCTGATTATCCGTGATGAGACAGAAACACATATATTTTTTAATTCTCATAGTGGGATGCTGGAGTCCAACTGCGTCCACTCGGCACGGCGGCCACTGATTGGCTTATTGTAGCCTGCCCCGGGTGATTATGATGATGGAGAATTTGGTGGAATGAAGGTTGGCAGGGGAATCCGAAGTACTCAGAGAAAACCTGCCCCAGCGCCACTTTGTCCACTACAAATCCCCCTTGACCAAACCTGGGTCACCAAGGTGGGAAGCCAGTGACCAACCGCTTGAGCTATGGCGCGACCAGTATATACTTATTTTTCTCTGCATTTACTTCTAGACCAATCTGCTTGCGAGTGCCAATTAAAGTATTCTGTGTTTTTCTTTAGGGTTTCTATGTTATGTTCCAGTAGATTCACATCAACAGTCTAGACTTACAGCTGATGTGTGGGAAACTTATTATGCAGTTTTCTATATACTCCTGTTAACCTCTGTATATAAGGACAAAAAAGGCATAAAATGGTGTCAGTAAACATGAGTCAAGTACTGTAAAGTTAAAAGTGAGAGCGATTTTTTTCATTTTAAGGTTATTCACATATTTTTCAGAAGGGTTTGAAAAACTTCTGTTCATGACTTTGTCACATCTGAATACTGGAATATTCCTGTCTAGCAAAAATCGAAGCACTTCAAAATTACTTAACAAAAATTTAAAATTAGCTTAAAATCTTCTTAAATCCACTCTCATATGATCTTGTGAGGCTATAAGCAATAAATTTTTCTTGTTTATTTCATTGTTACACTTACCTGATGTCGACAGAGAGAGAATAACTGTATAGAAGTAACACTGTGTACCACAACCACTCAATAACAGATGGAGCAGTTATTGAGGGTTGAATATATAAACATCGAGATTTGTACCTATCTCTTATCTGTTAATTTAAGGACAAAGATATCAGATAAATTTGTGCCTCAGCATAACATTTCATTGGTTTCAGTTTTATCAGCATGAAGTAGAGTCTTCTGTAAACTTTGGCCAACCTTTTTTTACACCGATTTAATCTGAATCAGTTGCTACCTCCATGCATGTCATGTCTGTAGCAGACGGTTCCCTTATCACAGAAGTTAAACATGGTTCACAGCCTCACTTCATATTGATGAATTTCGAAGCTTCATGAAGTTATTCCCTTCCTTCTTCTTCTTCATCATCATCATCATCATCATCACAGTAAAGAAAAATTATCCCTATGCTTACTTAATCAAGCGTTATGCTAAGAACACATAAGAGGGAGTGGAGGTTAATGCCATGTATTCTTAGCTTTGGCACTATCTTCATATCCCAATATTTTACTCTTAGTGAAGACCCTTTGGCACCCTTTGCAGCTTGAATGCTGTGCAGAAGAGAAAAATCTGTTTCCTCTGATGGGAACCAAAATGTGAGTGCTCTGCCATTGAGCCTGCAGTCTGTCCTTATACTGACTGAGTTATTCTGGCTTCATTGTTGGTAGTTCCTAAGTGGGAGCCTTGTCACCACAAAATGGTGCATGCTTGAGTTACAGATGGAGAAGATGATCTGTAAGTTGTTCTAACAAGAGATGGTTCCCTGGTATGGGGTTGGATGTAGGACTAATAAGGCTTTATCTTAAAATGTTATTTATTCAGAAAACTTTATTAAGACCTGATACTTTGGATGTCCGTATCTGAGACATTGTTAGTACCTACATCATTATTATGCAGTATTTTGGTGTCATTTGTTGGGGACATAATGGAATCCAGTTTTGATATAGTAAGGATGCAGGAGGTTAGGGTGTACGATGGACAAGGGAGTGGAGGAGGTAATTGCATTTTAGCATAGAAAAGAAAATGGAGACCACAACTTCAGACTTGGTTTTTCATTTTGATACAAGCAATTTAGAAATCAGGATTGAGCTGGGATAGCTCAGTTGATATAGTGATATATGCTACAGGCTGGGTGGCTGAGGTTTTATTCCTGGGAGGGGTAAGATTTTTCTCATCTCTGTAATGTCTGGACCACCTCTATAGCCCACACAATGTTCTCTCCAACGGATATCGGCCACTCACCTCTATCTAGTGTCAAAATCAAGAATGATGGAACTATACCTCCACTCCCCTATTTGACATAATTTATTCCTTCAGGTCGAGGATGTAATTTTATTACAGGAAATGTGTTTTCTCCAGCAGAAAGAAAAATGAATTGTTTTATATTGTGGGATATAACAGTGTGTAGTCCGGTACACTTCATTATATCCCAGAAACAACTCTTTATAGCCCTTGCTCTGAGAGCCTCAAATCCTACAAATTATAATTAGTATGCGTGTTTGATCAGATGTTATAAAATATTATGAGTATGTACACTTCCTCCGGTCTAGAAAATCGAGATTAAAGGCCGTGGGGATCCGTTGCGCTGACCACGTGACACTCTCTATCTGCTAAAGTTGGTACTAACTTCGCCGAGAAACGGCGGTCGCTCGGTCGGTATAGTTCGCTTGCAGACTAGAGGCCACAGGGGTTTTTTTTTTCAACAATCAGGCTACACTGGTAGATTTGTACAGAAACATTATTTTTCTAAAATCAATTCACATTTGTCAGTTGGAAGGTCTGCCTGAATGTTGTCAGGTTACTTGATGCATGACATCCTTGCTGACTATTTAACTATCCAGCTAACCAATTAACCACCTACTAAACAGACTAAGTAATTCCATTTAACTGAGTACTTCTTCAAAAGCCACCAGTTGCTCAACTACTCCAGAATTTTCCAACAATTGATGAAGCCAGAATGTTCAGTACCATGTTCACAAAAGCCCTCCCGTAATATCATTGTTTTTAAAAGTACATCATACCTTAAGCAGGCAACCTTTGCCAAAAGTCCAGTGTGTTCAATGTGATTTCTGGTATATTGCCCACTGTATGTTGAAAATGGAATCTAGTAACTTTATAATGATATCGTAAAGTTCTGTGACATTATCTGATGATGATGAAGCACTTTCAGAGATGTATCAATACCTTCTATTTGGTTGCCTCATTAATGTCTTTCCTGCAACACAGGTGGTCTAGCTGCACATAGGATTTTTATAACAGAATAACTGCGGTTATTATGTATACTTGCTCATATACCCACTTGAGCCTCTAGTAGGTGTACCATTGTTTTCCTGAAGGTATCATCTTTGATGTGTGAACTGGGGTAGCCCAGGCAGCATAGCAACTGCCTATGGGCTCGACGACTGAGGGGTCAGAGTTCGTGTCCCGTTAGGTTCAGAATTTTCTCTTCTCCATCTTGTTCAGACTGGCTCTGGGGCCCACCCAGCCTCCTATCCAATTGGTACCGGGGGGTTCTTTCCCTGGGAGTAAAGTGGCAGGGGTGTGAAGCTGACCACTCACCTCCAGCTAGTGCCGAGGTCAAGAAAATGTGGATCTATATATCCACTCCACCATACGCCTTCTTGGTGTAGTGCTTAATTAGTTAAGCACAAGGAAAACTTTACTTTTTAACATTTCTGATGTTTTAATTTATTATTATTATTATTATTGTTATTATTATTATTAGAGGGAGTGGGTTTCCCCATGCACTTAGACCAGTTATTGGTCCATTGTGCTTCCCCCTTTAATTTCTACTGTCGCCATACCCTACCGGTACTGGGGTGTGCTATCAGCCCCGTTCATCCAACGAGGTCGGCCGTCGGTACCTGATATTTCCTCCATCTACCAGAGGCATTGGAAACTATGTTTTAGTTTTGTGAGATGTTCTTCATAAATTACTGACATTTAATCAAAATCTTTTTAAACGTTTTCTGGAGAATTACAATTTTATTGTTTTGGGGCCCATCTCTAGGGCCCCTATTTATTTAGTTAGTATGTGGATTTTCATTGGGTATAGGCGCCTGGTGGACAAACTCTTAAATATTGAATGTGAATGAAGTGCATCCAACTAATCACTCATGAATATAAAGAAACTGCATCCCTAGAAACCACTTTTTCATATTCAAGGGAGCTGATAATGTGTGAATCCATTAGAGTGTTGAAATGGGTATTTTTCACCATCCAGTGCTTTCCGATATTACATATATAAGGAGGTAGAAAGGTGTTAATTTGTTAATAATTCCAGAAGAGAGATTATGAAGCTCTGAAAAGTTATGACCCCATAATTGCATCATGTTGGATTCCCCAGTGAAGTCTCATTGGAAGCCACTTGACCCACTTCTTAAAGTGTTATCAACAGAGGAGTTTTTTATATCATGTTTGTACCTTATTTTGTAGGCTCAACGATTATCTGTAGTTAAAGAGGACTTCTTGGAGATTCATTTAACCTCTATACTGAAAATAGGGGACTGGCTCAGATTTTGATATGACTGTTCTGAGTTTCATAATGTCATGTAGAACCAACAGTTTTAAACCTGTGAAATGTCTGGCAGTTTTATTTAAATTGTTTTATACATATGTAAGCATTTAAGAGATTATGTCTGCTGCACACACACACACTGTGACAGATAAGAAATGTAGTCACTTTTTAGGTATGATTTGAAAATAGTAAATAAAATAAATGACAAATTATTTACACTGTTAGTATCTGTGTGCATGGAACAGAACTCAAACTACTTGACCTATTTCAACCAAACTTGGCAGGTTACATTTACAGAAAATATTGCTTGATTTTAATTTTACTGTAGTTTAGAGCATTTTTAAGAGCCTGAATGAGTTTACATATCCTTAATTCTCTTGCTGGATTTCAATAAAATTATATATAATGAGTACAGTGCTCTTTGTGATTGAAACCTTTAAAGCACTATTATTACTATATATACCACATATATAACATTAAAATTTCTTAATTTTACTCACAATATATTTATGGTGTTTATATAATTCTCAGAACAATGTATGATTATTTATTGTAATGGAGATGCAGTTTGTTTTCACATAGGCAGAAACAAAATGGATAAAAAATCCATAAATTGCAACATTTTTTAATATGAATAAAACCTTTACATGTTTCAGTCAATGTTGTGCCGTGAAGGCCGACTCCCGGTAATATGTTAAAAGAGTATTTAACTTTTTTGTATTTTAGGGGAAAATGTTGGTTAGAATAGAATCAGTTGGGAAATACTTGTAAGACATACGAAAGAGGATGTAAGAAGGGTTAAGAAACTTCACGGAATTTCTGCATATGGAGTTAGACGGCCGTTAGCCTTTGACGCGTCGATGTCTTGTCAGCAGAATGACGTTGAATGAATACCGAACTGCTAACTCTACAGAATCTACGTTTGAGTGATGGGGGGACGTTTCGGAGGTAAAAAGGCTTAGCCAAGTGGGCTAGCAGTAGAAGGGGTGTGTCCACCCTAAGGATCCCAGCAAACTAAAGCGAGCCACTTGGGACTAGACGTCATTGGAGGCGGACTTACACCCCGCGGGAAAGTAATGAGTTAGCATGAATAACGGCATATAACCCAGAGACCAAATTAGTAAGGGGATTATTCAAACAGTAATTTTGGCCCGTTTGTGGCCGAAGGCCATGCCAGAATGGGCACTGACTAGACACCGGGCAACGCCATCCATCTGCAGATTCAACAAGTAAGTGGAACTACTCTTATCACCATGCTTAATAATTGTGATATTATTAAAGTGTAACTCCTCCAATGGGACATGAGTTAGGAACATTACAACAAGTGTACAGGGCGTAAGAGTGATCCAGTGGAGTGATGCAGAGGTAGACAGGTGTAATGTAGAGACTGCAGAGGGTGTGTCTAGATGCAGGGATGTGTAAAGATATATATATACAGTGGTTGAGTAGAACAGGAGAAAGAGGAGACTAGCGACCCGCAACTGGGTGAAAAGAGAGAGAAAGATGAGGTCCAAGAATCGTCTAAGAAAGTGTAATGGT